CCAGAACGGATGTCATCATCTGGCCGAGCTTGCCAAGTGCGCAATGCCTGAAGGAATGGGCGGGCCGTTGTGTGCAAGTGAGGCATACACCACGAGTAGAATCATGGCAAGGAGAGGGGTAGGGAGGGTTCATTTCCGTACTGAGGTACACACACACATACACGCACACATAAAAATACACACACGCACATATACAGACACGCACACAGACAGCACAAGCGCACAACTGAAAGCACGTTTGTCACAATGACGTACGCGTTGGTGTCGCCGACGGCGTCAAAGATGGAGAGCCACACCCGCCTCCGCGTGCATTCTACACCATCCTCCACGACGGTCCTGAGGTAAGGGTTGCTCTGCTCCAGAACACGAACGTCGCATGGAGACCAGGCGTGCGCCAACAATGCGTGCGTGCAGATGCACAGCACAGTCGACACGAGCAGTGTCCGTCGCCGTGATTGATGTTGGGGTCGTTGCGTGCGCATGGCTCCAGGTTGTGTTGTGTCGATGTTGGTGTTGGTGCTGGTGTTCGTTGATGGGCAAAAGAAAAGGGGGAAGCAAGGAAGCACCGGTGTCGCCGAGCGTTGTCAAACGCAAGGACCCTGCTTGCTTGCGAGCGCGAAGGCACCCACCGGTTTGCCGCTGCAAGCAACAGCACACAAACGCACACAAACAACAAACGCACACAAACACGCAAAGCAGCACGCGCAAAGCAAAGTAAACGAACACAACAAGCAAAAGCAACCAAGCGAACAAGCGAAGCGAGGAGGTGGAGGAAGGGAAGGGAAGGAAGGCCCTTGCACTCCACGCCAAGCCAGCAAAGGTCTACTGTGCTCTGGTATGCTCTGTTTGGTTCTGCTGTGTTGTTGTGGGGCGCTTGTGTGCTTGTGCGTGCTTGTTGTGTTGTGCTTGTGCTTGTGTGTGGGGGACAAGGCGTGGGAGAAACAAGGGAGGGGATTGTTTGGATTTGTGGAGAGGGAGGAAAATAATTGTTGCGTTTATTTTGCAGTTTGATTCGATGCGGAAAGAAGGGACGGGGGAAGAGATGAGAGGAAGCGGCTGGCTCTTGGTCCCCCAACACAAAAGCACAGACACACAAGACTCCGTGCATGCAGAGCACATGTGCACACTGGTTGCACCATCACCGAACACAAAGGAAAAGGAAGAACGAAACGTCAACAAGGGGGAGGGGGTGACAAGCTTGCTTTGCTTGAGACACAAACAACAAACAAACAGAGTGCACAGAGAGAGAGAGAGACACACACACACACAGAGTGTGTGTGCACGTGTGTGTGTGTGTGTGTGTGTGTGAGTGAGTGTGAGTGTGTGTGTGTGTGCGTGTGTGTGAGTGAGTGAGAGAGAGAGTGTGTGTGTGTGAGAGAGAGAGAGAGAGTGTGTGTGTGTGTGTGGGAGAGAGAAAGCTACAGTCACCCACACACACACACACACACACACACACACACACACACACACACACACACACACACACACACATACACCAACACACTTCAGCTTGCGCGGGGGAGCTCGTCGTGGTAGAATGTTCTGTAGATTTGGATAAAGCGAGACCACGATGTCTCCTCAGACCCGAGAAAGGCATCCTCCCACTTGGCATACATGGTGGGCACGTTTGCGTCCCACCTGAAGATGGGACCCACGTTGTTTGCTTTCAACATCACCATCACCACCACGGCCTTGAGCGTGTTCCACGTGCCAAACGCCTCCAGCACCAGGCTGTCGATGTTCTCCTTGTCACTCTGGTACAGCGCGTCGGACGCATACGGCTGCCACGCGCCAGCAAAGTTGAACGGCGTCTGGTAGTCTGTGTTGCTGTCCGGGCACGCCACGTGGTACGTGGCCCCACTGGCCACCGCCCGCGCAAGCTCGAAGATGCACCACGCGCGGTCAAATGCGCCGAGGTCGCCCGCCCGCTTGCGCTGGCGCAGCCCAAAGTTGCGCATCATGATGCCCCTGGATGGCGGTAGCACCTGGATAACAGTGCGCACCTTCTCGCCAAAGACGGCGCCCAGCTGAGAAATCTCCTCGCGCTGGACGCTCGTGCCGTCCGCGTGCTGCACCAGCGCGAAGATGTCGAGCCAGACGTACGTGTGCCCGCTCAGCGGCGCGTGGCCGGTGTGCTTGCTCGCGTGAAGCATGTCCATCAGAAACGCCATGGTGTAGTTCCACGTGTGTGACACGGCCGCCGTGGGGACGCTGCGGTGGTCTTCTGGCACCTGCGTCCACAGGCACTGCTTCGCGTCTTCCGTTGCGGGGCGAATCACCTTGTCCACGACCTCCCGCGTTGTGATGTCCTCTGGCAGCTTGTCCTTGTGCTCCTTCCACCACTGGAACAGATATTCCAGCGAGACGCCTCGCTCTGCCACGGACGGCAGCGAACCCGCGGTGGTGGATCCATCGCCTTGATGGCTCTCGTCATCCCCACTTCTCATGGCAGCGTTGTTTGTGGCAGTGGTGGCGTCATCGTCGTTGTTGCTTGTGGTGT